GCCGCCGACTCTTCTAATAAAGATACACGCATTATATAGTAAGAATATTTATTACTTATATATATATATATATATATATATATATATATATATAAGGAAAAAAAAAACATTTGGAGTAATCTATAATTTCTTGGAAATTACCTATGGTATGCTTCGTGTAATTATTTAATTAAAGTAAATTTTTATATAGCTCTTAATGTACTGTGAAAATTAAATAAATATATTTTTATACATTAATTCATTTATTTTTACTTTTGGTAATGTTAAAAATGCCCCTTCAATTTACTAATCGGAGAAGTTAAAGATGGCGGATCTTAAAGAAGAGCTCGCTCAAAGCCGAGCGCGAAGACAAGCACAGGCTCTTCCAGGTAGCCAAGAAGACGTTCAAGAGGGTAGTATGCTAGATGAATTTGACCCTTTTTCTGGAGAAACTGATATTTTTGAGGAAAATGTTAACATTTCTCTTACGGCACCACCCAAGACCCAGTAAGTGTTTTACCAATATAACTTAAGTAACTTGTAGTATACTACTGGTAGTAGTACTACACTAACAGTGTGTGTCATATATACGGTACCATGCTACCGGTGCATAGTTGTGAGGATTGTATAATTTACTCTATACTATAGCAAGAAGAGGTTATTAATAAAATTTATTTATTGTATTCTCTTGGTTAAAAAACTATATGTGCACAGTTTTCAACGTTTTGCACTTTGTTACCTTATATTATATTAGTAATTGTATAACAGTATAAGTTATAGAATTAGCTACATGATGTTATTTCAATATTTGTAAATTGTAGAGCTCAACATCAAAGTTCAGAGAAGCAACCAAGTTAAGTTGATATGCCAGTGAAAAGATTTGTTGTGCATTTGACTTTAGACTTTAGAATAACTTGTAGGAACAGCATTCAGTTGTTTAAAACAGGTATAGTCTAGATACATGCATGTTTTTTGTTTTTGACCTTTTGGTTCATGACTGATATTAAGGTTACAAATGGCATTTTTGTTTGGTTAAAAAAAACAATAAAAATGAGTGTTGCCAGTACTAGTAGATTTGATAGTTGTAGTGCAACAGAACATCAAACCTGTCATAAAACCTAGGTGAACATAAAGAAATATATGGCCAACATTGTTATAGATATTTTATCATTTAGAGGAAAGTCTTATGATGTGAGATTACCATACATCTTTTATTTTGATTTCAGAATTAAAAGTGCATCTCTTTTTAAATGTTTTTAAAGGTGCATTTGAGTACCTTTTAGGTTTGTTACATGGACCAAAAGGTTGTTTTGGAAGAATACAAATGTGTAAAGCTTCTGGTCTTGATTAGTGACCAAAAGCTTAAAAGAAACCAGTTACAAAGCTAGTGGGTTTTTTTTTTCATTTCACTTCCACAGTATAACAAGGGGTTATTTCAACCATTCAGGCTATCACATTTTCTATTACCCACTATATATATATATATATATATACATATAGTAACTCTTTGACTTATATCTAATCCTGATTGTTAAAAGTATCTTTTTTAAGTCTCCTTCAGTGGTTCATCTTCTACTTCTTCTGAAGATTTTAGTTCATAGAAATTACAGCTTATTAAAAAAAAATTAAAAAATTACTACCTTTATAGGTGTTACTTAATTAATTCCATGAAATCTAAAGTTATCTTGCAGTTATTTTATCATCTCATCTCTTGAGAGTAGTAGTAGGAGTATTGTAAATATCAAAAGGTTTGATGCAGAAACTGCCAAGATCTTTGGGGTGTATTTTTTTGTAGAAAGTGTGATGAATCAATGGACTAGCTAAAACAGCTGTCATCATAAAAATCCAGTTGCTAAATACCTAAGATCAGATGGCAAAATGGCATGGAAAGAAGCAGTGGGTTTTTATAAATGGAATTCAGTCAAATTGAATTGTCAAAAGTGAGATGCTTTAGGGCTTAGTATTAGAACTTTTGTTCTTTTTGATTTACAACAATGACAAAGGTGAATAAATGGTCAATAAATTGCTTAAATTTGCTGATTATATTAAAGTCTATCGTGTTGCTGGCTATGAGGAGGATGCTTTTGCTTTGCAAAGGAATTTAAATTATTTGATGAGTTGGGGGAATAAATAGTGGCTTTTAATTATAAGTACAAGACCAGTGTTGTGGAATAAAATGCTCTTGGCATTATGTTTCATTTGTCTATTAAATCATCCAAGGAGTGTGCTATTGCTAGTAATAGTACAAATTGGATTTTAGGTTGTACCTACAGAAATACTGTTAGGCCTCATTTGAATTATTGTGTTGTCTTGGACTTCTTACTTTAGGAAGGACATTGAATTGTTGGAAATGATTCAGAGAAGGGCTATTAGGATTATACTTAAGATAGAAAAGTTATTGTATGAGGGCAGGTTAAGGGAAATTGTTTTCTCTTCAAAAAAGAATAGTTAGAGGGGATTTGAATAAGATGTTTAAGGTTGTTATGGAATTGATAATGTTGATGCATTACCTTTTTTGTGCTAGGAGACACAAATATGTTTTGGCAGAGTGGGAATTATCTTAAACTAAGACAGTTTTATTTTTCTAACAAAGTGGTTGACAATTGGAATGAGTTGCTTTCAGGTGTGGTGGATGCAGTAAATTTAAGGGAGGCTTAATAAATACTTAAATAATAAGAGTTGTTTTTGAGTTTTACTTTATTTTGGTGGGTGGTATAGCCAACATGGACCAACTGGCCCCTTGTAATCTTTAACTTTTATGTTATAGTTTGGACATAGTGATATAAATACATCTTGAGCTTTCTACATTTTAAAATTTTGTCCTCTTACCTTAATACCAGTAGAGTTTCTTATGAAAGCATCATCTGGATTTATGGATTCTAGGTTTTAACAATCTGAAAAAAAAAACAAAAACAGTGTCTTCCAGAGTCCTTTTCTTTATCAAAAACATGCAAGGAAACTTCTACCTCTTTTCATACATTAACTATTCAAAACCTGGAATCATCTGATGGTTCTTCTCTGAACCCTTTCCAACAACTCAACATTCTTTCATGAGTTAGGTGACCAAAACATGATGCCGTATTTGAGTTTTGTTTTTCTATTTTACAGTTTAATTTAGCAGACAGGATGGTCTAGATGGATCAACAGGTTCTATGTTATCTTTACATTTTATCAAGACCCATGGAAGTATGTCGTGCATCCAAAACAACCTGCAGGACACACTGTGTGTTTTTAACAGGAGTGATAGTTTAGCAATTTTTCACTTTCTTTAGCTCAAACTTTGGTAATTTAAACTATCACATACTTTCAGTGGATGTACTCTACTGGACTCTTACTTCATATACTGAATTTCAAAGCAATCCATTAAGAAATACACAAAATATAAAATTGATTGAATTTCTTCTATGTTTTTTCTTCACACCAAAAGTACATAAACTTTTTTTGATAGAAAAAAATTACTTAATTTTCATAGATTTTTTTCAAATTTGGTACACTAATATATCTTTACAACTACAATTAGGTGTCAGATTTGATCTAAGTATAAGCCACAGGTGCAAAGTTATTCAACAGAAACTGCTCAGTTTTGACCAAAGTTGTTGTGCAAATCTGTGCAAAAAATTACATAAGCTATTAGTCTAAAATTTTTACTACAGCTTTACCTAAGCGTAAAGGTGGATAATTTTCAGTTTTTTGACATTTTGATTAAAGACAGATGATTTAGAGCAGTAAAACTATAGAGTGAAAACACATGTAAATACATAATTATTGGTTAGGGCAAGCAAACTAGATTAACAGTTTCTAGCTCAAGTTTTCAAAACAATCATACTGGTGGATGGTTATAATTCATTGCCAACTTTTCAGCACAAATTTTCTATTTTATGAAAATTACCTAATTATAGAGAGTTTAGTGACACGTGATATTAGCTTAAGCAATTAATGTAAATAATGATGCTTGATACAGCTGTATCGATTGCATGTGGATGATGACAAGAAACTGTTTATATAGTTTCCATGGCATTACTATAAAGGAAGTTATTAACACTATTTTAGAGAGGAAAACTACCACCATATATTTTAAAGAATCTAGTTGGTTCTGTAAAGTATAGGTCTGTTCCAAATGATAGGGTTGAGATCCCAAAGCTAATGTTGATTACTATCAAGTTTATCTTAGTTGCTATGGTTGGTGTGTATTGACAAAAAAGTCATGATCTAAAACACCTTAGGTATGATAAAAAAATACAGTAAAAAAGGTTTGAGCATGTGACTTAAAGGAATGAAATCAATATTGGTGGCCAAACTGGTAGCTACACTTATAGCATTGATAAGAATTTTACAGCAAATATTCATTCATTAGTTAGTGAGGCTGCATTTTTTTGTTCAACTTGGGGCATGATGGTGGGTAAATTTTACAACATTTTTACAGAATTACATTCAAAATTTAATTAACTTGTATATCAATAAACTGGGCAATAAAATGTAGTTTATAAATCACATTTGAATATTAAGTTTTAATTTCTTAATTACAAAAGGAAATATTTATAGAAATGCATAATCTTCACTTATCTGTGTCATGTAATTTTAGATTTCTGAGTGTAGAAGACCAGTTACATACTTATACATTTCTGAGCCATAATGTAAGTTTATAGCATCGAAGCTTCATGCTTTACTGAGATATGAATAAAGAAAAAGTGATACCCACATGCCATGCTCCTTCTATCTCATCCTGTTTTTCAAGAAAATTCAGTATTCTCTCTGACATTTGCTGCTGAATTATTTACAAATGATAGAAAGAAAAGATTTTTCTTTACAAGATTCATTAGCAGGCTGATTCGTTTAATTAACAGTTTAGAAAATGTTTAGCATAGGTTTCATTGTTTACCTTCATGGTGTTCAGCTCAACCATCTAATGGAACTTCTTTAACCTGTTTATAGCTTAGAAATCCAGTTAGATTATAGCAGTTTTAGGATATTCTATTTTTAATTTGTGTTCTAAAATGTGTATTAAAAATAAAAATTAATGATATTTTGGACTATGAACATTGTTACAAAACATAGGGTTAGAGTGCTTTGTCCGTCGATGGCAAAAGAACCGAGTCCAGATGTAAATACTAGATTTCTTGTCTTATATATATTTTTACTTTTTGGTACAAAAGCAATTGAAATGTAAAAATTAGAACTTTATTAGGTCAGATAAGAAAACTTAAATGAAAAAAAGTTAAAAAAAAATTACTTGTGATATTCAATATCCTAGCATGTGCACATTGTGTTGTGTGATTGTAATTCAGTCATGGCATGCTTTTAACTGGATTATTTATTTGCACAACATTATGCATCTATGATAAATGGCTTTCAGTGTACTTTGGGACTATAAGTATAGCTGAAAATCAGCAGAATTGTGACTAAAGTGAGAGCTAACTAAAGGAGTATTTTTTTCAATCCAAAATACATTATCTCATTTTTAATCATTGAATTCATAATTTCAAGATGATACCTCACACAGAACAACT